CAGTGGTAATCCATGTTTCCGTCAGCGCCAGGAAGTCGAGGGACTGGAGGGTAGCATAGGCTGGGATGAAGTCAGCCTTGTTGGCAGCAGAACGGCAGTTCCAGAGGCTGCCTGAGACCTGGAACTCCAGGTGTGTGGTGCGTGCAGGGACCACCAGGTTAGAGAGGCAGCAGCCACGCAGTGTGAGGCGTTTGTGTAGCCTGTGCGGAGAGGAGAGAACAGGGATAGGCAGAGGCATAGTTGACAGGCTGTAGCAAATGGCTACAATAATGCAGAGGAGATCGGAATGAAATGAACTAAACATCAGGGAAAGGAGAGAGCGGGGCCTCCCTCACCACAACTCCCAAATATAACTATCCCAACTTCCACCTCAGAGACTATAATTGTTTCACTGAAACACCCGAATAAAACTCTCCCAACTTCCAGTTTAGAAATTAGAATTGTTGTAAACTACAGCGGTTCAATATTTCAAGGAATAGACTCAACTTACTTTATTCAGCTAGCTAACTATGACGCCATAGCTAACTAGCATGCTAGCATCCAATAACACACGGTTTAGCACCAATACTTGGTTACAACAAACTACCAATAGTGTGTTAACACACTAAACAGATAATTCGTGTCCGTGTCTAGTTCCTTTCATAATGCAGCAATAATTAAACGTTGGCTAGCTAGCACAAATATATTGTATTTAGCTGCTACAGTACTGCTAGCTGGTAGTGTTGGCTAGCTAGCAATGGCTGCTGTGTTGACTTTGTTTGAAAAACGGCGTCGCTGCGAACGAATGTAGCTGGCTAAAATTATATTGTATTTAGTTGCTATAGTACTGCTAGCTGGTAGCGTTGGCTAGCTAGCAATGGCTGCGGTGATGATTTTGTTTGAAAAACGGCGTCGCTGCGAACGAATGTAGCTGGCTAAAAGGATATTGTATTTAGTTGCTACAGTACTGCTAGCTGGTAGCTGGTAGTGTTGGCTAGCTAGCAATGGCTGCGGTGTTGACTTTGTTTGAAAAACGGCGTCGCTGCGAACGAATGTAGCTGGCTAGCTAACCTCGATAGTTACTCTATACTACACCTTTATCTTTGATACAAATACAACTATGTAGCTAGCCAACATTACACTAATCAAATCGTTCCATTGTAATGTAATGTGTCATATTACCTGCGGAGCGAAGTACAGCATGACTACTCACCTCGCCTGATCCACACACTAATCCCATAGAAAATCTGTGGAGGGAGCTGAAGGTTCGAGTTGCCAAACGTCAGGCTCGAAACCTTAATGACTTGGAGAAGATCTGCAAAGAGGAGTGGGACAAAATCCCTCCTGAGATGTGTGCAAACCTCGTGGCCAACTACAAGAAACGTCTGACCTCTGTGATTGCCAACAAGGTTTTTGCCACCAAGTACTGTCATGTTTTGCAGAAGGGTCAAATACTTATTTCCCTCATTAAAATGCAAATCAATTTATAACATTTTTGACATGCGTTTTTCTGGATTTATTTGTTGTTATTCTGTCTCTCACTGTTCAAATAAACCTACCATTAAAATTATAGACTGATCATGTCTTTGTCAGAGGGCAAACGTACAAAATCAGCAGGGGATCAAATACTTTTTTCCCTCACTGTATATATTCAAAAATTAATAAATATTAGAAGCAAAAAATGTTTAACTAAAGTTGTGCACTGGGCCTTTAGTAGTATTAGCGGACCGATATAGAAAGTGCATTCCGAAAGTATTCAGACCCTTTGACTTTTTCCACATTTTGTTACGTTACAGCCTTATTCTAAAATTGATTAAATTGTTTTTTTCCACCCTCATCATACTACACACAATACCCCATAATGACAAAGCGAAAACAGGTTTTTAGACATTTTTGCAAATGTATTAAAAATAAAAAACGGAAATATCACATTTACATAATTATTCAGACCCTTTTCTCAGTACTTTGTTGAAGCACCTTTGGCAGTAATTACAGCCTCAAGTCTTTTTGGGTATGTCCCGACAAGCTTGGCACACCTGTATTTGGGGAGTTTCTCCCATTCTTCTCTGCAGATCCTCTCAAGCTCTGTCAGGTTGGATGGGGAGTGCTGCTGCACAGCTATTTTCAGGTCTCTCCAGAGATGTTCGATCGGGTTCAAGTCCGGGCTCTGGCTGGGCCACACAAGGACATTCAGAGACATCTCCCGAAGCCACTCCTGCGTTGTCTTGGCTGTGTGCTTAGGGTCATTGTCCTGTTGGAAGGTGAACCTTCGCCCCAGTCTGAGGTCCTGAGCGGTCTGGAGCAGGTTTTCATCAAAGATCTCTCTGTACATCTTTTCCTCGATCCTGACTAGTCTCCCAGTCCCTGCTGCTGAAAAACATCCCCACAGTATGATGCTGTCACCACCATGCTTTACCGTAGGGATGGTGCCAGGTTTCCTCCAGACGTGACGCTTGGCATTCAGGCCAAAGTGTTCAATCTTGGTTTCATCAGACCAGAGAATCTTGTTTCTCATGGTCTGAGTCCTTTAGGTGCCTTTTGGCAAACTCCAAGCGGACAGTCATGTGCCTTTTACTGAGGAGTGGCTTCTGTCTGATCACTCTACCATAAAGGCCTGATTGGTGGAGTCCTGCAGAGATGGTTGTCCTTCTGGAAGGTTCTCCCATCTCCACAGAGGAACTCTGGAGCTCTGTCAGAGTGACCATCGGGTTATTGGTCACCTCCCTGACCAAGGCCCTCCCCCGATTGCTCAGTTGGGCCGGGTGGCCAGCTCTAGGAAGAGTCTTGGTTGTTCCAAACTTCTTCCATTTAAGAATGATGGAGGCCACTGTGTTCTTGGGGACCTTCAATGCTGCAGACATTTTTTGGTACCCTTCCCCAGATCTGTGCCTCAACACAATCCTGTCTCGGAGCTCTATGGACAATTCCTTCGACCTCATGGCTTAGGTTTTGCTCTGACATGCACTGTCAACTGTGGGACCTTATATAGACAGGTGTGTTCCTTTCCAAATCATGTGCAATCAATTGAATTTACCACAGGTGGACTCCAATCAAGTTGTAGAAACATGTCAAGGATGATCAATGGGAAACAGGATGCACCTTAGCTCAATTTCGAGTGTCATAGCATAGGGTCTGAATACTTATTTAAATAAAACATGTTCTTTTATTTGTAAAATTTGAAAAGAAATCGAAAATCCTGTTTTCGCTTTGTCATTATGGGGTATTGTGTGTAGATTGATGAGGATTTTTATTTATTTAATCCTTTTTAGAATAAGGCTGTAACGTAACAAAATGTAGAAAAAGGGAAGGGGTCTGAATACTTTCCAAATGCACTGTAGACCGGCAACAACTAAAAAATTCAGCATCTCCACTTTGGCAAAAAAGGTCGTTGTATAATTAAGAACAGTATTGTGCAGAATTCAACAGTTGGAATTGTAAGAGTTGTTGCCCCTTTCTCTGCAATTGTAACTCTAATGGAATCCAGAAAGAACAAAACCCAATCCTCAAACATTTACATCAAAAGGTGCAAAGTTATGGGCAAAGACACAAAACATCCACATCAAATTAAATATTTTCCTTGATGAAATAACATGGAAAACAACCACTTTTTGTGCATTATTAATTTACCATCCTTACAAATCACTTGTACATTACTGTATTGTACATAGGCTGGTCATCTAGGTTTGTACCTGTAGACTTTCCATCACCATGAAGAAAAACAATACACAATACAGTAATTGAGTACATGATGATGTGGCTCAGTTGGTAGAGCGTGGCGCTTGCAATGCTAGGGCTGTGGGTTCGATTGCAACAATTTCAAAGATTTTACTTCATATAAGGAAATCAGTCATTTGAAATGAATTCATTAGGCCCTAATCTATGGATTTCACAACTGGTAATACAGATATGCATCTGTTGGTCACAGATACTGTACCTTTAAAAAAATGCGCCTCACAATGGGCCTGCCCATACCATAACCCCACCGCCACTATGGGGCACTCTGTTCACAACGTTGACATCAGCAAACCGCTCGCCCACATGACGCCATACAGGTGGACTGTGGTTACTAGGCAGGTTGGATGTACTGCCAAATTCTCTAAAACGACGTTGGAGGCGGCCTATGGTAGAGAAATGAACATTAAATTATCTGGCAACAGCTCTGCTGGACATTCCTGCAGTCAGCATGCCAATTGCACGCTCCCTCAAAACTTGAGACATCTGTGGCATTGTGTCATGTGACAAAACTGCACATTTTAGAGTGGCCTTTTATTGTCCCCAACACAAGGTGCACCTGTGTAAGGATCATGCTGTTTAATCAGCTTCTTGATATGTCACACCTGTCAGGTGGATGGATTATCTTGGCAAAGAAGAAATGCTCACTAACAGGCATGTAAATAAATTTGTGCATTACATTTGAGAGAAATACGCTTTTTGTGCGTATGGAACATTTTGGGGATCTTGTATTTCAGCTCATTAAACATGGGACTAACACTTTACATGTTGCGTTTATATTTTTGTTCAGTGTAGTATATTTTTTTCTCACAAATGTAGTGCACTGGGCCTTTACTAGTTGTGTATTAGCGGACCAATATAGACATCTTCAGCGCAGGCACGTTTTTTTCTGCATTCTCCCCGTCAGCCAAAAAATCGCAGCCCACCCCCAAACTACTTCCTGCGGCTATGGTTATTATAATGTCCTATACCTTTGTGATGTCATCAATCAGAATACTCTACTACTCAAATCTCTGTCAAATCTCTGCTTGTTCATAAAAAATCTGTCAAAGTCAATATTGCTCAACTGAAAAGAGAGTTTGAACAAAAGAGCTCCAGTTTGAACATGTTTCTTTAGACAACTTCTGCCCTATATGTACATGAAAGCAAGCAAAAATGCAGAACTCATTGCTATGCTAACAGAACAAACGAAGCGAGCAAGCAACATTTGTTTTGGTAAATTATCTTGTGTATGTCATCAATGACATTATCGCATGTTGCAATGTCTGTCTTGATATTTCAGCAGCAGATCTAAGAGTGCTTTGTTGGATGAGGTTGACGGAGAACACGGTGAGTTGCCCTGTGGATCAAACAGGTCCAGCCCAAGTAGGAATGGAAGTAGACTGTTGGTGGAGCCAGTAGTAGTCCTGTTAGGTGGGTCGCAAGAAAACGTCTATCAGTGCATTCAGTCTGAGATTGATGAGTCAGTAAGCGACATAATTCTCTCGTCAGACCTTAGAGATGACAATCTGTTGAAAGCAGTGACCTCATCCAAGACTGTGAGCTCTGATATCTTTGAGGCGGCAATAAGGGACATCAACGCTGGCCTCTCTTACATCCTCCTGCAAGCAACATGTAGCAGAAGCAGCCAAGTTGCCAGAGAGATGCTTTGCATTGTCTCTGTGAAGTTGCTTCCGTTGTTCCCTGAGCTGACAGGAAAGGGGTTTCCCAGTGTCCCTGTAGAATTGCAGAGGATACTGGAATCGAAGTTGCCTTCTGCCACAGCACAGGTTATTGTTTCTGTCATTGATGCCATGATTAATCTCTGTGGAAAGGAATGCACAAGGGATACTACAGAAGGACAGGATTCCGTTAATAGCCAACTGTGTAGCTTTCTACATGCTGTGTCTGACAGAATCAAAGACATGACATTAAAGATCAAGTCATTTAGCCCCCAGCCAGGCGAACAACCCAGAACATCCAAATCCATGGAATCTCTCCAGGACACAATGCCATGCTCAAAACCCAAGCTTCTATTGTCATCCACCTCATCCATAGACCAGTCTTGCTCAAGCTTGATAAAGCTGTGCTCCTACTCTTACTGCACACCAGACTTTAACAAAGAGTTCAGTGACCTGGAACAGGAGAGGCAAGTGGTTCAGTCTCCTCAGCCGTCAATGTCAAGAAAGGAGGTCATTGACCTTGGAGACATTCCAACTGCAATTTGGGACCAATCAAAAAATATGGAATTCCATAAAAAAGCCTCAATGGCAGTGAGCCAGATCATGGAAACCACTGTGAAGGAGATCACCACACTTTTTGATTCCAAAATCTGCACCATTTACCAAGGACCACTTGAGAAACTTGATGAACAAAGCATGCCACTGGAGCCCTCCATAAAGCTCCCACACAACACTGGTGAGGCAGCATCTGGTGTGGTAGATATCATCTTGGAGGGCGTGCAGACTGTAATTGATCCCAACAAGGATTTTTTCAATACTCTCACAGACCCTACACTCTTTCAGGGAGCAAGTCCAATTGGTTTCCCACATTATTCTTCAAATGGTCCAAGCTAAATTGAAGGAAATGTTCACTGTACAACTGCTCCTTAACACTGAAAGCGACATCGGATTTAGTCAACACGGTGTAGTAACCAGTGCAAAAGAGATCCTGAGCCGGATCTTGGTGAACATCAAGGAGGGACTGCCAACATGCGAGTTGAAAGGGTCCAGGGAGGCACTCGCAAAGCAGTTTTTGGACTCACTAATCCATAACCTCAAGCTACTGATAACCAGGGATTTGGATCAACAGCCAGAACAAGGTGCCCCCAGCTGCTTTGTTGAACAGAGAGTGGCTGACATTAGTGCCTCAATTATTCCAGAGACTAGATGCAGCACTTCTCTAGAGCTGGAATGTATGGTTGCTGATGTTAGGCCTATAACAACTAATTTGTATCATGCTATTGTGGAGACGGCGAACGTCCTCTCTAAGGATTCAATTCACTTCTTGTCCAAGACTGTGCTCATTGAAAAGGCCCAGCAGGTAATGCTAGATTCCAGCAGCACCAATATACTACGCCTGGCAGTCAGTAATTCACAGATGGCTGTTCAGAAATCATGCCCTGGGAAGGAGGACCTTGAGAAACAACTTGTTTTGGATTTTGTAAAGACATCAGTAGGGAACCTACTCCAGAAGTGTTTGGGTTTAAATGCTTCCCAAGATGAATCTCAACCCTCTCAGCACCCTTCCTCCGGCTCTAGCCAGAAGTCTCTTCGCTCCATCCCTGGCTGGGTGTTGTCGAAGCTGAAGGGTACTAAGACAAGTGTGGAAACTGTCTCTGCAACAGCCCTGATCACAACAGCTATGGTCCAGGAAGTAATGGGCTCTGTCCCACTGACCAGATATCCGTCAGTGGATACAAGTGTTTGCCTCAGCAAAGGTAAGGCCTTTATTTATTTTAGACATTATTTGAATGCTATCCAAAATGTAATAGAAAGCTGGAATTATAAGATGTTATTGGACTTATCTTACTTTCGCACATTTCAATCAATTCAAATATTCATATTTTAATAAAATGTCAATTTTCTATTTAAAGATCCTTCAAATATGTATTTGCCGCTTGAGGATATTCATTGTTATGAGGAGCTAGTAAGAGAATGTGACATAGGAGAAATGGCTAAGAAATGTTTGGCCACTGAGGCTGACCGTCCAGAAACAGGACTGAAAACTGTAAACTGGTGCGAAAGAGTCCCCCATTTCATGGGTCTTTGTCAAAAAAAAGCACAGACAATGTCCCGTGTAAGTCTGTCTAAAAGTCTGGCTTCGGACAACACTAATTCTCAGGAAGATGTACAAGAATTTCAGGCCACTTCAAGTCTATGCACGGTGGCAAGAACCCCATCCCCAGTGGAATCGATGGCCAATGGGTCTATGCATAGCGTAATGAATGCCCTTCTCTTGAAAGTCGAAGAGAATTCGGTCGAATCAGTGTTGGAATTGCACCAGGCAGTAGAGGTGTTCAGTGCAGAGGTCCCCAGAGCCATTGCTTTGTCTGTGGTTCCGGCAATCAGCACTGACAAAATGCCTGAGCCATCTCTCACCATCACTAAGGCTCAAGGAAAGACAACCAAAAACAGGCGAGAGCGATTCTATTTCCCTAGTTGTTGTCCACAGAAGGAGCAAAAGAAAGCCAAAGTGAGTTCCGTTTCTACTTTGTCCGACAAAGCTATGTTTATTGACGATATGTACCAGGACCTGCTCCAAGAAAAAGGATCTGCCATAAAATTGTGCCAATCAGTTGAGCAATTGCACCTTGCAGTAGAGGAGTGCAGTGCAGAGAGATTCCCCCATTTCTTGGGTCTTAGTCAAAAGACACCAGAGACAATGTCCCGTGTAAGTCTGGCTTCAGACAAAACAAATTCTCAGGAAGATGTACAAGAATTTCAGGCCACTTCAAGTCTATGCACGGTGGCAAGAACCCCATCCCCAGTGGAATTGATCTCCAATGGGTCTGTGCATAGCGTAATGAATGCACTTCTCTTGAAAGTCGTAGAGAATTCGGTCGAATCAATGTTGGAATTGTACCAGGCAGTAGAGGAGTTCAGTGCAGAGGTCCCCAGAGCCATTGCTTTGTCTGTGGTTCCGGCAATCAGCACTGACAAAATGCCTGAGCCATCTCTCACCATCACTAAGGCTCAAGGAAAGGCAACCAAAAACAGGCGAGAGAGATTCTATTTCCCTAGTTGTTGTCCACAGAAGGAGCAAAAGAAAGCCAAAGATAGTTCCACTTCTACTTTGTCTGACAAAGCTATGTTTATTGACGATGTGTACCAGGACCTGCTCCAAGAAAAGGGATCTGCCATAAAATTGTGCCAATCAGTTGAGCAATTGCACCTTGCAGTAGCGGACTGCAGTGCAGAGAGATTCCCCCATGTCTTGGGTCTTAGTCAAAAGAAACCAGAGACAATGTCCCGTGTAAGTCTGGCTAAAAGTCTGGCTTCAGACAAACTAATTATCAGGAAGATGTACAAGAATTTCAGGCCACTTCAAGTCTATGCACGGTGGCAAGAACCCCATCCCCAGTGGACTTGATCTCCAATGGGTCTGTGCATAGCGTAATGAATGCCCTTCTCTTGAAAGTCGAAGAGAATTTGGTCGAATCAGTGTTGGAATTGCACCAGGCAGTAGAGGAGTTCAGTGCAGAGATCCCCAGAGCCATTGCTTTGTCTGTGGTTCTGGCAATCAGCACTGACAAAATGCCTGAGCCATCTCTCACCATCACTAAGGCTCAAGGAAAGACAACCAAAAACGGACGAGAGAGATTCTATTTCCCTAGTTGTTGTCCACAGAAGGAGAAAAAGAAAACCAAAGTGAGTTCCGTTTCTACTTCGTCTGACAAAGCTATGTTTGTTGACGATGCGTACCAGGACCTGCTCCAAGAACAGGGATCTGCCATAAAATTGTGCCAATCAGTTGAGCAATTGCACCTTGCCGTAGAAGAGTGCAGTACAGAAGTCCCCAAAGCCATTGCTTCGTCTGTGGTTAGCGTGATCAGCACAGAAAAAATGGCTGAGTCATCTCTTAACACTATTGCTCAAGGAAAGCAAACCAATAACAGGCGAGAGAGATCCTATTTCCCTAGCTTTTGTCTGCAGAAGAAGAAAAAGCAAAACAAAGCTTCATCTACACCTGTGGTTTCCTTCTCCGGTGGGTCTGTGCATAGCTTGGTATGTGCACTCCTCTTGAAGATCCGGAAGAATGCTGATGGATCTCCTCCGCAGTCAGAGCCAGAGCTGATTGAGAAAGCCCTGTCTGTCAGTGGATCTGTGTTGACACTGTTGGCAGAGGTCAAAGGAATGTCGGTTGATGAGGAATCATCAACCCCTAGTCGGGCACCTCCTGATGAGGTAGTTGAAGCAGTGTACAAGGACATGCTGCAGGAAAAGGGTTCTGCAATAGAATTGCACCATGCAGTGGAGCAGTGCAGTGCAGAGGTCCCTAGAGTCATAGCCTGGTCTCTGGTAAAGGAGATAAGCACTGCTCCCCCCAATGAATTCCTTGCTGCCCCAGCTTTCCTCCTCTCATCTGTCCTGCTTCTCTCTGGACATCCAAGTAAGGTGATCTCATTATCGGGAAATGCCAAATCACTTGTCGCAGCGGCAAGTGATAGTCTCCCTAAGGATGAGAGTCGGAAGAGGTTTGGCTTGTTGCCAAAGCTGCCTAAGACACATAAAATGCAGAAGATGCCAAAGTTGAAGATGAAAATGAAGGTATGGTGTGAAAGTCTTTGAATTAATAACACATTTTATTTAGTTAAGCGTCTCTATTTCGACATTTTATGCTGTGTTCGTGAACCATCAGTTTTAATTGCTAGTGAATGACAATTATTGGAAATGATCAGAATTTCTGTTTCTGACAGCTTTGTGACCTACACTACCAGTCAAAAGTTGACACACCTACTCATTCAAGGGTTTTTCTTTATTTAAAAAATGTTGTACATTGTAGAATAATAGTGAAGACGTCAAAACTATGAAATAACACATATGGAATCATGTAGTAACCAAAGAAGTGTTAAACAAATCAAAATATATTTTATATTTGAGATTCTACAAATAGCCACCCTTTGCCTTGATGACAGCTTTGCACACTCTTGGCATTCTCTCAACCAGCTTCATGAGGTAGTCACCTGGAATGCATTTCAATTAACAGGTGTGCCTTCTTAAAAGTTAATTTGTGGAATTTCTTTCCTTAATGCGTTTGAGCCAATCAGTTGTGTTGTGACAAGGTAGGGGTGGTATACAGAAGATAGCCCTATTTGGTAAAAGACCAAATCCATATTATGGCAAGAACAGCTCAAATAAGCAAAGTGAAACAACAGTCCATCATTACTTTAAGACATGAAGGTCTGTCAATACTGAACATTTCAAGAACTTTTAAAGTTTCTTCAAGTGCAGTCGCAAAAACCATCAAGCACTATGATGAAACTGGCTCTCATGAGGACCGCCACAGGAATGGAAGACCCAGAGTTACCTCTGCTGCAGAGGATAAGTTCATTAGTGTTACCAGCCTCAGAAATTGCAGCCCAAATAAATGCTTCACAGAGTTCAAGTAACAGACACATCTCAACATCAACTGTTCAGAGGGGACTGTGTGAATCAGGCCTTCATGGTCGAATTGCTGTAAAGAAACCACTACTAAAGGACACCAATAAGAAGAAGAGACTTGCTTGGGCCAAGAAACATGAGCAATGGACATTAGACCGGTGGAAATGTGTCCTTTGGTCTGGAGTCCAAATATGAGATTTTTGGTTCCAACCACCGTGTCTTTGTGTAGTTCCCACCGTAAAGCATGGAGGAGGTGGTGTTATGGTGCTTTGCTGGTGACACTGTCTGTGATTTATTTACAACTCAAGGCACACTTAACCAGCATGGCTACCACAGCGATACGCCATCCCATCTGGTTTGGGCTTAGTGGGACTATAATTTCTTTTTCAACAGGACAATGACCCAACACATCTCCAGGCTGTGTAAGGGCTATTTTACCAAGATGGAGAGTGATGGAGTGCTGCATCAGATGACCTGGCCTCCACAATCCCCCGACCTCAACCCAATAGAGATGGTTTGGGATGAGTCGGATGGCAGAGTGAAGAAAAAAAAAAAAGTGCTCAGCATATGTGGGAACTCCTTCAAGACTGCCAAGTGTGCAAAGCTGTCATCAAGGCAAAGGGTGGCTATTTGAAGAATCTCAAATATAAAATATATTTTGATTTGTTTAACACTTTTTTGGTTACTACATGATTCCATGTGTTATTTCAGTTTTGATGTCTTCACTATTATTCTACAATTTAAAACATTTTAAAAAGAAAGAAAAACCCTTGAATGAGTAGGTGTGTCCAAACCTTTGACTGGTACTGTATGTTAACACTTTTCTATGACCTTCCAGAACAAAGTGGATCCACTGGCCATCTACCCCTCTTTTGATCTTCTGAGAGAGGATCCACTTGAGGACACATTTTATGATAATTCATAAGAGGGACTATTGGAAGGCACCTCTGATGATCATACAAGTGGTAAACAGAAATAATCACAAACACCTTTTTTTGTTGAATACATGTCCATACCATTTTGAAGTGTTACTGTTGATGGGTATAGTGGGTCTGGGCCCTCTTTGAGATCATGCACAAACTTGATTTATGCTCATGAGTTATGCTCACACGTCTCAAGTCAGGATAGGACACACGTGTTAACACCATAGATATGTCACCATCTCCTCACCACTCTGTAATATATTGGGATGCTGAGCATGTGCAAATTGGTTTTTGAACTGGTGAAATGTTTTATGACTATGGGGTCCTCACTCACTAACTCTCTCTAATTAGACTTACAGTGCAGCAGTCCTTTTCCATCACCTCCCAACTCATTTGGAGAAGAACTCTGACATTCTGGCTCTGGCACCAAAAGTGAAGACCACCAAAAGACCGTCTCTCTTCACTAGCATTGGCAGTGTCATCACCAAGGCCTTCACTAGAGCACTTCACCCAGTCATGACCAGATCTAGGACCATCCGTAGTAGTAGTTAACTTGACCACCGGATAATAATTCAAGAGAGGATCCACTGGATCTTGCGACCTTATGATCATCCATCTTTGTTTAGATAAACTTGTTGGTTCAGAATTCATTCTTATGAGGTTGGTAAGCCACACAATTACATTTAGACTATAGCTAGGTTTCCATCCAATTGGCAACAGATTTTCATGCAAATATTCTAAAATATGCATTAAAAACAGTGTGCGCATTTTTCCACCAGTGATGTTTTCATTAAATTGACTTGCTGCAGATAAAAGCTGTGTGATGACGTAGTGCACATAAAAAATACCTTTTGCGGTACCGTTAAATTCCCATGTATTGAATAAAAATACAAATTAAATGGGTTTCCATTGCATTTTCAACTCTGATGGTTTTCTCACAAAAAATAACTGTGCGCTATATAGCGGAACACTCCGGTAAAGGCAACAGCGCGCAGATACTGGATCTGTGCCCTGTTGGCTAGAGCGCAGGTAAGGCCTACATCAGTGGTTCCCAACCAGGGGTACAAGGACCTCTGGGGGTACTTTGCCTATCCACAGAGGGTACTTGAGAAGACTCATGAGACCATTGGCCTACTCGTAAAATTGCACGAGGGGTTCCTTCTGGGGTACTCCGGGCAGAGCAAAATTCAGTTGGTGGTACAGTAACCGAAAAAGGTTGGGAACCACTGGCCTACATGATGAGAATATTATGGACAAAAGAGCGAGATTACCTTTATTTGTCAAACGGCAGCCAAGCATCGATGATCATGTCACCAGAATAAGACGCTCAACATTTATTGGAAAGGAGAATCAAACTCCATCACCTTGCACTTTAACCACTCTGTGAATTTCATAATTTATTTAATCTGTAGCGTAATTTTACATTTACATTTTAGTCATTTAGCAGACGCTCTTATCCAGAGCGACTTACAGTTAAGTGAGTGCATACATTTTTCATACTAGCCCCCCGTGGGAATCGAACCCACAATCCTGGCGTTGCAAGCGCTATGCTCTACCAACTGAGCTACAGGAGGCCCATAAACTGCATGCTTTCCCTACGAGTCGTAGTGGGAGGACAACACATGTCATCACGTGACTCCAAGTTTACTTCGATATGATGGTTATTATATCTTATATTATTTCTCGCATAATTCATTTTACCGACACAAAAAGATCCCACTTTGTCTAGTGTATTTTGTTTTGTTGACATTTGTAAAGTTGACCGAATTTTCTCTCTCAATCAGGCCTGAAATTCTTTATCCGACATGTACTTTACTCGCATAAAAAAGGTTGGATGGAAACCTGCTTTATAACACTATCAAACTGCGTCTCTGCTTTCAGTTTTGGAGGATGCAGAGGCCCTTGTCACAGTTTAAAGCAATACCTCTAGCCCTCATTTGACATGTTGCTGATTACTGAGATTTAGACTTGTGGCAGAGGCTTGATGGGACATTTTAAATAATCTTACTTGCTCCAGTATGGAACATTTACATAGTTAACCATACAATGAGAAGTGATCGCTGGGGCGGCAGGTAGCTTAGTGGTTAAGATCGTTGTGCCAGTAACCGAAAGGTCGCTGGTTCTAATCCCCGAGCCGACTAGGTAAAAAATCTGTCGATGTGCCCTTGAGCAAGGCATTTAACCCTAATTGCTCTGGATAAGAGCGTCTGCTAAATGACCAAAAAAAATATATACAAAAAATATCGCCATATCTTTTACAGTTAAATTGATATATGGATCTGTAAAATACAGTCTCCTTGATCTGTGCCCATGAAAAGCATATGAAGACAAAATGACACCTACTTATGTATTGCAAAGTTTAATAGTAAATGAAAAGTGTGCCTTTCTGTGTATGGGGGGGGGGGATTAGAATGGATGGGGAGGGCAGATGTCTTTGGTCCATACTTGGTGGTTCCTGTAGTGAGGGGCAGGTGGTAGTGTACGAATTGGATGGAGGCAAGAGAAGGCACTTAAGTTTACAGGTTTTCTTTAGACATTTTCAAAAGAACAAGGACATAAGGTCTTAGACAGGACGAATTGGACTGAACCAGATTGTTAACCTCCAGGGGTAAACCATACGCTCAACATGTATATAACATACAAAATGCCCCATGTGAGCACAACAAAATTATAGCTATATATACAGTAAAGAAAGAAAATGTAATATAAAAAATTAACATGCTACTCAATCTAGAATAGATTATCCCATTGGAAAACAATCAAAAGAGTTTTTTTTTTTTTTATAGGCAGAGAAAGAAAAAAAGGCAGCAACTCTAACAGGAAATGCTTTTCTCTTTGGTGATAACCAGATAGTTGAGAATGTAGACAAAGCTGTGAATGTGAGTTCTTACACTTGGTAAAAGAGATTGAGACAGGCATAATTAATTCCCTATACAGAATAACTCTAGCTATTAGACAACTGTAAGAAATACTACATGTACATAATGTACATGCTTGGCCAGTATGAAAATGTATGCACTCACTAACTGTAAGTCGCTCTGGATAAGAGCGTCTGCTAAATGACTAAAATGTAAAAATGTAAGCTACCAAAAGGTAATAACTAGCAATGTGTTGTGGCGAGAAAATGCTCTGTAGTGCATGCATCTCCGCAATTGAAGAGTAGGCCTACTGTGCATTATGATTACTGAGAATAGGCGTATATTTACAGTGCAGATCTGAGATTAGGAAAAATTCGCTAAAAGGCAGGAAGCTCTTGGAGTTGGCTACCAAGCCTTACGTGCTCAAGCACAGTTGCTGATACATGCCAATTGATCAGCCCTGCTGTATACACTCTGCACTTCCCCAGAAGACTTTGTAAGCCATTGAACAAACCAGAACTACATAATCTTTACGTTGATGTGCAATATAACAAAAATGAAGACATTGGCCAAATTATACTCGTATGAAAAGAAGACTTCAGTACCTACGTTTATAACATATCTTAAACACAAAGGTATTCCTATGGATAACTTCCTACCAGTAATATTGGAGGAGATGGGGGGGGGGGGGGGGGGTTCTCAATTCTTCTACTCACCAGGTATGACCCTTTGGTACACAGGAAACAGCTGTATGGCCTTATACACATGCCTTGCAGTTTGACACGACACCGCTCTGCTTTCGGTAAATGGTGAACCATACCAAGCCCCATTTCAAAAGAGCATTATCAGGGCTCTGAAAAGCAAATCCCTAAAAGCAACATTATGCCTTCAGGCAGTGTACAAGGGGCAACAATTAGGTATTTATCCAGATTTTGTGAAGTTATTGTAGACGTTACTAAGAATATTAAATCTGTCCCAACTCAGTAGTCATAAAACATAGTCGAAATAAGACCGAAACAGCATTCACAAATTTGATCTGACTTTTTCCTTCTCTAGGATATGATCAAGAGAAAAGTTAACATATTAAAAAGGACAAAAAGCTCCTAAAGCTCACTTTTCATCATGTAAAAGATCACAAGATTGTGCACTTAACAATGTTCGTAATGCAGGCATCTCAGCATTTCTAGAAAGGCAAAGGTGAAGTTGCACTGTGATAGATGGCAAGCAAGTCAAGTGTGTGCCATTTATGGTCCTGTCTGAGATGCACTGAAAATAAGGAAAGAATAAGAATAGACCAAATAACACCTAAAGATATGTACTACTAACAAAGGGAAGTCCAAATTCAGACTGTAGGTGTAGGGGAGTGTAGGTTCCTTTCTCATACCTGAAATTTGAGAAGTGGAGTCATTCATAATTAAATATGTATGTAATAAAGAAATTGAGCCCTCTCCTTGGATTATACAATAACAATATAGAGAAGGACAGGGCAACTATCCACTAAACTATTCTCATACATGTTAGAGAGGGAATAAACAACTGCCATCAGGCAACATCCAAAGTGATTACCTCTGGTTCACCTGCTAGTTCTAATTATAAACGTATTAATTGTCCAGTTCAAGGAGTACATATTATTTACAGGCGCAACTAGTATTTATGGTAAGCTCTAAATGAATTAGATACAAATAAACGTATGTAGTGTTGATTGTATGCCATTGATGACAGTCTTCCATACATACTAGTAAGCATGCCGTAACATATGGAACTGAAATGGTTTGATGTACTGCAACAACAAAAAAATCGCTACCAAAATAAAATTGATTTGATGCTTGAGAAGAAAAACTAAAATAGCAGAGAAAATAAAAATGCTAAACATAGATGCCTTTTAGCAGTGCACAAAATGCATATAAATCTCAAATCACAGCAGTCTCTGTGCTGAACTCATCACCAGATATCACCAGATAACACTGGCCTCTGAAGTAGCAAAATGCTGCTAGATCAACAGGCATGCGAAAATAGGTCTTAATAGCGGATTTTCAAGTTTGGCGGATGAATGGTTTTGCCTATGGGTGGCACTACAGCTCAACTGACAAAAAGATGTAAACTTGTATTCTATTCTTCATCAAAAAGGAGTTAGTGGGGTGGAAGGTGCAGGGTACAGGGTATCGAGGTTGGAGTGCCAGGGTTAGTAGGTGGTTTTAAGCCAGGGAGTTCCGGTGTCAGGGGCAGTGTGTCCGCGGAGGCCTTTGGGGCAGACCGTTATGAGAAGGGTGGTCTTGACGGTAAGAAGAGGATGGAGTGGAGTTGGAAGGGCCTCTTGTGGAGTTGGAGGATTGTGTGGCAGTAATTGTAGGATGGCTGGGGCCATCACCTTGGCCTTGGTTGCCCTGGTAACCCTGGGAACGGTAGCCTCCACGATTGGGGTTCCTGTCGCGATATGAGCCGCCATTATACCGCTGCCCACCGGAGTAGTATCCCGGGCCCGCCGTATACCGCCTGTTGCCTTGGAAAGTCTGAAAGGTGCAGATTAAAAATCACACTTAAATCACAAAGCAATCATATTATGCTTATCATTTTTACTCCTAAGGAAACATGACTGAAAACATTCAGCAACTCCTTTAGTTGCATGTTTATGATTGCTTTGTGAGCTGACCGTTTTGTTCGGCTGGGTAGGGCGTCCTTCGAAGCTGGAGCCCTGGTGCTGAGAGGGAGGTGGGGCTTCTAGGTACCCTGGGCCTGTGATGGAGGAGGAGGTGGAGCTACAGCGGGAGCGGCTGGAGTAGCCTGTCTGAGGGTGGTACACTGAAAGGAGAGGGCGTCACAAGGGCAGGAGTTACCATAGAGATACATAGTATTATTATTATACAAATATGTGTTCTATTTAATTCTGTGGGCGTTACTATCAAGTTGGAAGCATTGGTCAGTAAGAGGAAAGACATCAAAGAGAAGAAAAAAGGAATGTACCTGATCCAAATCCTGTGATGCTTGTCTTCAGTGGTTCTAGTTCGAAAGTGAACTTCACGGCTTTTCCCAGGTCTTCATCATATTTACGTTCACTCACAAAGTGCTGCAAAAAGAGGAGACGAGACATACAGTATGTGGACACCCCTTCAAATTTGTGGATTCGGCCATTTCAGCCACACCCATTGCTGACAGGTGTATAAAATAGAGCACACAGCCATGCACTCTCCATAGACAAACATTGGCAGTAGAATGGCCTTACTGAAGAGCTCAGTGACTTTCAACGTGGCACTGTCATAGGATCCACCTTTCCAACAAGTCAGTTCATCAAATTTCTGCCCTGCTAGAGCTGCCCTGGTCAACTGTAAGTGCTGTTATTATGAAGTGGAAACATCTAGGAGCAACAACGGCTCAGCCGCAAAGTGTTAGGCCACACAAGCTCACAGAACGTGACTGCCGAGTGCTGAAGTGCGTAAAAAACATTGTCTGTCCTTGGTTGCAACACACACTACAGAGTTCCAAACTACCCCAGGAAGCAACGTCAGCACAATAGCTGTTCGTCAGGAGCTTCATGAAATGGGTTTCCATGGCCGAGCAGCTGCACACAAACCTAAGATCACCATGGGAAATGCCAAGCGTCGGCTGGCGGGGTGTTAAGCTCGCTGCCATTGGACTCTGGAGAAGTGGAAACGCGTTCTCTGTAGTGATGAAACACGCTTAACCATCTGGCAGTCCGATCTGGGTTTGGTGGATGCCAGGAGAACACTACCTGACCGAATGCATAGTGCCAACTGTAAAGTTTGGTGGAGGAGGAATAATGGTCTAGGGCTGTTTTTCATGGTTAGGTCCCTTAGTTGAAGGGAAATCTTAATGCTACAGCATACAATGACATTCTAGACGATTCTGTGCTTCCAACTTTGTGGCAACAGTTGGGGGAAGGCCCTTTCCCGTTTCAGCATTACAATGCCCCCGTACACAAATGAGGTCCATACAGAAATGATTTGTCGAGATCGGTGTGGAAGAACTTGACTGGCCTGCACAGAGCCCTGACCTCAATTATTATTATTATTATTTTTTTAAATTTTTTTTCTACTTATCCATTTTTTAATTAACACTTATTTTTCTTAAAACTGCATTGTTGGTTAAGGGCTTGTAAGTAAGCAAATACAATTTGATTTGACCTCAACCCCATTGAACACCTTTGGGAAGAATTGGAATGCTGACTGCGAGCCAGGCCTAATCGCCCAACATCAGTGCCCGACCTCACTAATGCTTGTGGCTGAATAGAAGCAAGACCCCGCAGCAATGTTCCAATATCTAGTGGAAAGCCTTCCCAGAAGAGTGGAGGCTGTTATAGCAGCAAATGAGATGTTCGAAAAGCAGGTGTCCACATACTTTTGGCTGACCAGGGATTACAGACTTGTCTTCGGTCAGATCATGGCTCAATTCCAACACAACATAGTCCCTGAACCAATTTTAATTAACAGTTGTAAATTTGTCTTGACTATAGATAGTGTTATTACGGTAGTCAACTTACCTTTATGTCCGCGCGCAGCTCACTTAGTTGGTTCTCAGACATGGATGCCGATTGGTCAGTTAGCCTGCGGAGCTCCTCTGCTTTCTTTTGACGGCCATCCAAAATGGCCACTTGAACACAGATATACAATATTAGTTGACCGCTCACTCAATATTCAGACACCTTCAGTTGTATGGAAAGAAATCCACACATAGGCAATACCATACTGAAACTTGGGACTGGGTATGTCCTCAACATGATAAGGTAAGACTATTAGTTGACTAGTTTTGACAAAATAGATCATACAAGATACAACACTGTATCCCTAAATAACTCCACAGGCTTTTCCTAGTGCTGACAATTATTAGGTCAGCACCAGGAAAACTCCCACCAGAGGAACAGTACTGTTTGTGTAACAGTTGCTAAGGAGATTCAAATGACAGAAAACACTTCACTCCTCATGAGGAAAAACGGGGAAGGGAAGAAAGCAAGTCTCATCCATTAACAGTAACACACATCTAAAGGAAGGGAAGAGATTAGGGCAGAAACTGGTACATTTGAAGGAATGTTGAGTTTCTGTAATGTCAAATAACTGCTCTAGTGTTCCCTCTCTTCTTCCCTCAATTCCCCACACACCTAGACACAAAGAAAGCATTTAGTCTACCTCGAAACCTGACACTATTCACTTTTTCCAAGCTCAGGACACACAAAACTTTATTGGAAGCTGTAAAGAATAAAGGGAGAATGGTCTACTTGTGGAAATATGCAGTCTTGCTCTGTCATGTTTCACTACATTGAAGACTCTGGTATGCCTAAGGCCCAAAATAATCTTGAGGACATACATTCGAAGAATGCTGGTTGGTTATGTGAACTGGGAGGGAGTAGGTGACATATATTGGTAGCCTATATGGAATGTCCTAACTGGGACAAAGGCTTTCAGATTTTTTTTAACATAGTAAGAATATAAATAAAGTCAGGGGTGTCAAACGTCCGGCCCGCGGGCCGGATTAGGCCCGCAAACGGGTTTAATCCGGCCCGCGAGATGATTTAAAAAAATAAATAAAAAAATTGTCAAGTATAAAAATGCGCTGCAATTTTTCAATAAAATAAACTGCTGTTCCAATTGCGTCCACTGGATGGCGCAATAGCAATTGTGTTAAGCAAGCAAACTGTTTATACCGGGGCAGAGCAAGTAGGTCAAGCACGTGCAGCCAATGAGCTACTTTGTTTTGCCCGCGATATTTATTACGGCTTCTACTTTTAACATTATGTGCTTTGGCACCCTCATTGCCCCAATATGTCTCTGTCAAAAAAGAGAAAAGTGGACGCAGAGTGCAGAGTGTTCCAAGAAAAATGGTCATCATATTTATTCACGGAATTGAATGGGAAAGCTGTATGTTTGGTGTGTTCAGAGCATGTTGCAGTGCTGAAAGAATATAACCTTCGTCGCCACTATGTGAGTCTTCATGCCGACAAATATGACAACTTTCAAGGACAGCGGAGATGAGAGAAGGTGAATGAACTGTTGGCGGGTCTGAAGAAACAGCAGTCTGTGTTTACTCACAGCCGAGACATCAGTGACGCTGCAGTGAAAGCTAGCTACCTCATTGCTAATGAAATCGCAGTGGCTTCAAAACCATTTAGTGAGGGTGAATTTGTAAAAACATGCATGATGAAGGCAGCGGAGATTGTGTGCCCTGAAAAGCGGCAGGCTTTTGCAAATATCAGCCTGACAAGAAACACAGTTGCAGACAGGATTTCCGATCTTTCAGTGGATTTGGACAGCCAGTTGAAGCAAAAAGTAAAGTCATTTATTGCGTTTTCGGTTGCAATTGATGAAAGCACGGACATTACAGATGTTGCACAACTGGCCATTTTCATCCGCGGAGTTGATGACACATTGACCGTCACCGAGGAGTTTGTGGAGTTGGTGCCGATGACAGATACAACGACAGCAGCTGATATTTTTAACGCACTCGTCGGCGCGCTGGACAGGGTCGGAGTGGACTGGTCCCGCGCTGTCAGCCTGGCTACAGATGGTGCGCCCTCAATGATCGGGAAAAAAAGCAGGCGTTGTGACAAAGTTCAGAGAGAAAGTGCAATCTGCAAATGGAGGACGTGATTTTTTGACTTTTCACTGTATTTTGCACCAGGAGGCTGTGTGTTGCAAGTCATTAAAGATGGATAACGTCATGAAGGTGGTCATCCAAACTGTTAATTTCATCCGATCCAGAAGCCTGAATCACCGTCAGTTTGACAGCCTTCTCAGAGAGAAAGACCACATCTATGGCCTGCCATACCACACTGAGGTAAGATGGTTAAGCCGAGGTGCTGTGCTGAGGCGTTTCTTTGATTTACGAGAAGAAATTGAACAGTTCATGGAAGAAAAGGGCAAACCAGTGTTAGAATTTCATTCCGCAGAATGGATGCAGGACCTTGCATTTATGGTGGATGTTACAGAGCACCTGAATAACTTGAACAAACAGCTGCAAGGGCGCAACAAAGTTGTCACGCAGTATTATGACAGCATACGTTCTTTCAAGTTGAAGCTGTCATTGTGGGAGACGCAACTTGCCGGTGGTGATGCAGCTCACTTCCCCTGTCTGAAAAATGTGTGCGCGACCCAACATGTGGCAGACATGAAGCGGTTCAAAGATAAAATAACGGGACTGTTACGGGAGTTTGAGCAACGCTTTCAGATTTATGTTTATATGATTTTATGTTGATGTGCTATTGTTTTTAATTGATTTTATTGTATTTGTATATTTAACCTATTCTTGACTCTGTGGTTCTTGCACTTGTTTGGGGAACATGATTTCATTATTTGTATCTACATTTCTGCCTGAGAAATGACGCCCTGATATAGTTCTGTGATCTGTGAAACAGTTCTGTTAATCACTGAGGCATTGTGTGTTTGTGTGTTCTTTTTCTTTAGAATTTTCAAATAACCTTGACGTGTTTTATGATTAATAGTGATGTTGTGCTTGTACTATTTTGGACACACTGTCCTCAGGCTCCAGCTTTATGTTGTATGTTGATCGTATTAAAACAAAGAAAACAATCTGAAGTTGTTGTTTTTAAGTTATATATACACCATGATTTTTCCGGTCCGGCCCACTTGGGAATAGATTTTCCTCCATGTGGCCCCTGAGCTAAAATGAGTTTGACACCCCTGGTCTAAGTGTACAAAACATTAAGAACACCTTAATATTGAGTAGCTTTTTACCCTTTTGTACCCCTTTGCCCTCAGAACAGCCTAAATCCGTCGGGGCATGGACTCTACAAGGTGTCGAAAGCATTCCACAGGAATTCAGTCCCATGTTGACTCCAATGCTTCCCACAGTTGTGTCAAGTTGGCTGGATGTCCTTTGGGTGTGGACCATTATTGATACACGGGAAACTGTTGCGTGTGAAAAACCCAGCAGCGTTGCAGTTCTTCACACAAACCGGTGCGCCTGGCACTTACTACCATACCCCGTTCAAAGGCACTTAAATATTTTGTCTTGCCAATTCACCCTCTGAATTGCACACATACACAATCAATGTCTCAATTGTCTCAAGGCTTAAAAATATTTTTTTAACCAGTATCCTCTCCTTAATCTACACTGATTGAAGTGGATTTAACAAGTGATATCAATAAGGGATCATAGCTGTCATGGAAGGAGCAGGTGTTCTTAATTTTTTGTACACTGTGTACATTGATGTCCAAATGCTAATTGAAAGGTGTTGTACTCACTGGCTTCTGCTTTGACTTTGTCCATCTCTGTCAACAGAGTAACCTCTCTGTCCATTAGACTAAGAGAGGGGTGGGGAAAAAGAGATATGAAATGACATGTTCTTTACTATGATAAGGTGAATATGATGATTTAAATTTCTAAGATAGAGTCTGTACTTTGATTTTGGCAACACTCACCATTTCTCTACTACAATAACACTGGTTAGCAATAGGCTACATGTTACGCTGAAAGAGGTACTAATGGTGGTTGCTGTAGTGCAGAGGTGAGAGCAATGCACGGATTCAGTGATGGACATTAAAGACTTCAATCATATCTCCTAAATTGCTTAGGTAAACATTCTGTTTAAAATAATGGAATGTGGTATGTTATATCTCACAATAACAAGTTAACATTCCAAATATGACCTACAACTTTACAAACGAATGTAGTGGTGTTAATGTTGGGAGATGTACCAGCTCTGGAGCTCAGCAAACGTCTGCTTCATGGTTTTAATAGAGGAGTCCATTTCATCCTTGACCAACACTCTGTATCGACTAAGCGACACTGTGCATCTCTGCAGGTCCTTCACAGAGCGGTCAATGTTGGGCGCTGAGAGTCAAAGAACAGGGTTAGAGGTCACTTGTCTTAGACAAACAAAGCATTACTAGAGCTGTCGTCATCAACACTCCAGTACACACATCCTAGTTGTATAAGATAATATACAGTTGAGGCACCTGGGACTGCTAATAAACCATGGGACTGCAGGGAACCCATGGATTTGACAATATTCTATATCAACAATAAGGAAATAATAAAGCAAATTTTGCACTAACCAATCTTCTTAGCTCCAGACGATCCCTGTTGGCTCTCATCAGTGGTGAGCACAGAGGAAGTGGATGATTGCTGGGAGTTGGTTCTGGGACGGAACTTGTTGCCACGGGGAGGCTGGTGATTCCTTCTTCCTTGAGCATGATGAGGGGTGGTGCTTGGGCCAGTACAAAAAGAGTCTGCTTCCACACCTTTAAGGAGAAAGACACTGCAGTGTGATCTTTTCCGATGGGTAGGCGTTGGCTTCAACTACAGAAGATTATCAAAAGTGTAGTATAGTCTCAACAATCCAAAAGGTTGACTGATGGGTAAAATAAAGCCACTGAGACTGCTCTATAACAATACCTGTAATGTCCGACATGGCAGGTTCAGATTCGAGCTCAGCTGCGTCCAAGAAGGCAGAATCTAACTGCTCACTCAGAGAGTCTAGTGAGTCTCCGTCCAACGCGGCGCCATTGGCATGGAACCCATTTACTGCTTCTTTATTCTCAGTCTCCAAAGGCTGTGTGGTTTCGGCTGGAGCAGGCTCCTCTCCCGGAGGCTCTGGCTGGGGCTTGGGCTTCTTTTTCTTCTTGGGCTGGATGTTGAAGAATCAAAGTCAGATTCTAACCACTACAATAAAACCTTACACAGCTTTTGGTGTTCATACATAACAAGCATATAGCTTTGGTTGAGCAGACTGTAGGTCCTCATGACATAGACACCAGATATGTTCAGCTAAAGCTGCTGACTTCAAAGCAAAATAGGTGATAGGTGAAACGATAAAACAGATTAAATAACATTAAAGTCCATCTGGGGACAGATGTTGGAAATTTGTGTGAGCTAGAAACTCAATGTGTTTGTACTCATCTCTATCCAAATAAACTAAAACATACATTTCCTTTGACTAGCATTTAGAGTTCAAAGTTAATTGGATTTAAAGTAAATGTTTTTTTTCTCCAAGTCTGGATTGGTCTGTAACTGGAAGTATATCTTTGGAACTTGTTTTCAAAAAGTGCCGACTCATAATCCTGTGAGGGACAGGCCATATTTAAAATGTCATGACACATGATAATATATTTCATTCATACTCATGTGGCCCTTTCATACAGAATGCAATACCCTGAAGTAAAGGACAAAGTTAACAAGGTTACCTTTTTTTTACCAGTTACATTCCACTCCTTCAAGATATCAATGGCACTACCTGAAGGGAAAATGAAGTAATTATGAGTTAAGAAGAATGCGCTCTTTCCATAACAGCCTTGACCTTGTTCATGACATGCAGACAATGTTTCAGATGATCTAGGTTTAAATACTCCATTTTAAAAAAATTGCCTTTTAAAAAGAGTAGGTCTACAGTGACCAAAACCACACCTGTAGAAGTAGGCCTACATTACACTAAGAAAGTATGACTGATGCGAGCCATGTAAAAAAATTAATCTGGTTAATCCACTCGATACTTGTTCCTGCATCATACTTCAAGTAACAAGAGGGTGATTGAATACAAGAAACCCAAGTTGTACACTTTGAACCGGAATGTTCTTAGATTTGAAATACAAAATGTATTTTCCATTTATTTGTGTATGGTGTCTGTTCTATATCACAACAAGAATGATCACTATGGCATTCCCATACCTTCTAGGAAAGCCTGGACGGCCTTATCAACGCAGTTCTCAAAGTGCTGCAACACCAGAACTATCTCATTGTTGCTTTTGTTGGGAACAACGGCCCTGACGGCACTAATCTGTGAAGAGAACGAATAAGAGAGAATTAACTTAGCATAGTGACACATATCCCAAGGCCCTGGGGGATCATTTCTAAATGTTGTGTTTGTACAACATACAGTGCCCTGTTAAAGTATTCATCCCCCTTGGCGTTTTTCCTATTTTGTTGCATTACAACCTGTAATTTAAATGGATTTTTATTTGGATTTCGTGTAATGGACATAGATAAAATAGTCCAAATTGGTGAAATGAAATGAAAAAAAAATCATACAAAAAAATAACGGAAAAGTGGTGCGTGCATATGTATTAACCACCTTTGCTATGAAGCCCCTAAATAAGAGTGCAACCAATTACCTTCAGAAGTCACATAATAAGTTAAATAAAGTCCACCTGTGTGTAATTTTAGTGTCACATGATCTTAGTAAATATACACACACACACCTGTTCTGAAAGGCCCCAGAGTCTGCAACACCACTAAGCAAGGGGCACCACCAAGCAAGCGGCACCATGAAGACCAAGGAGCTCTCCAAACAGGTCAGGGACAAAGTTGTGGAGAAGTACAGATCAGGGTTGGGTTAAAAAAAAATATCCGACACTTTGAACATCCCACGGAGCACCATTAAATCCATTATTTAAAAATGGAAAGAATATGGCACCACAACAAACCTGCCAAGAGAGGGCCGCCGACCAAAACTCACGGACCAGGCAAGGAGGGCATTAATCAGAGGCAACAAAGAGACCAAAGATAACCCTGAAGGAGCTGCAAAGTTCCACAGCGGAGATTGGAGTATCTGTCCATAGCACCACTTTAAGCCGTACACTCCACAGAGCTGGGATTTACGGAAGAGTGGCCAGAAAAAAGCCATTGCTTAAAGAAAACAATAAGCAAACACGTTTGGTGTTCGCCAAAAGCCATGTGGGAGACTCCCCAAAGATATGGAAACTGAGCTTTTTGGACATCAAGGAAAACGCTATGTCTGGCGCAAACCCAACACTTCTCATCACCCCGAGATCACCATCACCACAGTGAAGCATGGTGGTGGCAGCGTCATGCTGTGGGGATGTTTTTAATTGGCAGGGACTGGGAAACTGGTCAGAATTGAAGGAATGATGGATGGCGCTAAATACAGGGAAATTCTTGAGGGAAACCTGTTTCAGTCTTCCAGAGATTTGAGACTGGGACGGAGGTTCACCTTCCAGCAGGACAATGACCCTAAGCATACTGCTAAAGCAACAGGAGCGGTTTAAGGGGAAACATTTAAAATGTATTGGAATGGCCTAGTCAAAGCCCAGACCTCAATCCAATTGAGAATCTGTGGTATGACTTAAAGATTGCTGTACACCAGCGGAACCCATCCAACTTGAAGGAGCTTGAGCAGTTTTCCCTTGAAGAATGGGCAAAAATCCCAAAGGGTAGATGTGCCAACCTTATAGAGACATACCCCAGGAGACTTGCAGCTGTAATTGCTGCAAAAGGTGACGCTACGAAGTATTTACTTTTTTTTTTTTTTGTTATGCACGCTCAAGTTTGTTGTCTTATTTGTTTGTTTCGCAAAAATATATATTTTGCATCTTCAAAGTGGTAGGCATGTTGTGTAAATCAAATGATACAAACCCCCCAAAAAACAATTTTAATTCCAGGTTGTAAGACAACAAAATAGGAAAAATGCCAAGGGGGGTGAATACTTTCGCAAGCCACTGTATACCCTAAAACATGCGGGCGCCAGTTTACACAAAAGTTGGCATTTATCAAATCTGAACTTGGCGTGAGAATGTGCTTAATTTCATGCAAACTTTAGACCATGCATACACACTATATCTAGTGGTTGTATTGCAAGTAGGCAAATTTTTTGCAAATGGGGGATATGACACGCTTACTCATAAAAAAAAATAAAAAAAACAGGAGCCATTTGCTGTTAGTGATAAGAGCGAAAATCTATGCGTTTTATTTTTGGAATCTACAATAATTAGACATAGGAATCTATTTCCCATTTTATTTTCATAACGATTGCAGAATAAATTCCTCACCTTTTCTGTCTGTGATGTGTTCATAATCCCGAAGTAGCCATATGCCTACATCAAATTACCATACGCATCTCTCATTTAATTGGGCCTCATAGCCTAGTAAATAGATAGGCTACATGTATTTTAAGTTCTGCTGTATGCGATCCCATAGGCAGTGTGGTTTATATAGGCTACATAGTTGAATTGAACAGGTAAATTGATAGTTGATATTTTATATTGAAGTATGTATGCTACTACTGTATTTAGACTACTGTAATTCGTTTTTTGAGTAGCCTAGACAATGTTTCAGAATTCGCAGGCAGTACAGCATATTTAGGTTGGGGGAAAAGTTGATGCAAAACATGTTCAAACATTCTGCTGACAGGTCCACAACAATTAGCCACTGTTTTCTCTTTAAGAAACTAATCACAGTCCTTTGCCAAATACAGCATAAGTTACTGCAAACGATTAGACTGGTAGCTTATGTAAAAGATTTGACAGTATGGGTAGACTACAGTATTGCTGTGCGATAGGAGCACAGAGCGCAACATAATAGCCTATTTAATCTGAGCCCATACCAAGGCAGGAGATAGAAACACAATCTATTGATAAAATATTGAATAACAATTCATCTTGTGCATACAAGTGTGGGCTGTAGCAGTGTTTCCGCTGTAGTCTTTTAACTGTGGCGCTGCGTCACAGAAAAATCATTGCCACCACGGAAAAAATTATATCAAACAATAATTCTGTAGAGGAGAACTTTGAAGATGCTACAACAGTCGACATTTAATTTTCCTCTGCAAACAAAACGAGTAATGAATAGAAAAATCAGACAAACCCATAGTAGAACAGTATCTATACTGAACAAAAATATAAAGGCAACATGCAAAAATGTCAACAATTTTACTGAGTTACAGTTCATATAAGGAACTCGGTGAATTGAAATAATCTATGGATTTCACATGACTGGGCAGGGGTGCAGCCATGGGGGGCCTGGGAGGGCATTGGCCCACCCACTGGGGCCAATCAGAATGAGTTTTCCCCACAAAAGGGCTTTATTACAGACAGAAATACTCCTCAGTTTCATTAGCTGTCTGGGTGGTTGATCTCAGACGATCCCGCAGGTGAAGAAGCCGGATGTGGAGGTCCTGGGCTGGCGTGGTTACACATGGTCTGCGGTTGTGAGGCCGGTTGGCCAAATTCTCTAAAACGATGTTGGAGGCGGCTTATGGTAGAGAAATTAACATTCAATTATCTGGCAACAGCTTTGGTGGACATTCCTGCAGTCAGCATTATAATTGCACGCTCCCTCAAAACTTGAGACATCTGTAGCATTGTGTTGTGTGACAAAACTGCACATTTTATTGTCCCCAACACAAGGTGCACCTGTGTATTGATCGTGCTGTTTAATCAGCTTCTTGATATGCCACACCTGTCAGGTGGATGGGTTATCTTGCCAAGGAGAAATGCTCACTAACAGGGATGTAAACAAATTTGTGCACAGCTTTTTGTACGTATGGAACATTTCTGGCATATTTTTTATACTTTTATATTTTTCTTCAGTACATTTACCTAGTTGGCTTGTTGCGTCTTCTATGCGAGATAAATATTCCTCAATTATATTCCTAAAATATTCCTTAAATTTAAGAGCGACATAGGGAGGGAAACCTGCTTTCTGACAAGCAGTCAATGCACACAACTATTCTTGCAATCGCTGGGAAAACAGCAGTTTTAATGGCCTTTGTTAAAAAGAGGCAGTGGTGGAAAAAGTACCCAATTGTCATACTTGAGTTAAAGTAATACGATAGCTTAATAGAAAATGACTCAAGTTAAAGTGAAAGTCACCAAGTAAAATACTACTTGAGTAAAAGTCTAAAAGTATTTGGTTTTAAATATACTTAAGAATCAAAAGTAAAAAATAATTTCAAATTACTTATATTAAGCAAACTAGACGGCACCATTTGTGTTTTTTATTTATTTACGGATAGCCAGGGGCACACTCCAACATTCAGACATAATTTACAAACGAAGCATGTGTTTAGTGAGTCTGCCAGATCAGAGGCAGTAGGGATGACCAGGGATGTTCTCTTGATAAGTGTGTGAATTGGACAATTTTCCTGTCTTGCTAAACATTCAAAAGGTAACAAGTACATTTGGGTGTCAGGGAAAATGTATAGAGTAAAAAGCACATTATTTTCTTTAAGAATGTAGTGAAGTAGGCCTCCTGTAGCTCAATTGGTAGAGCATGGCGCTTGCAACGCCAGGGTTGTGGGTTCGATTCCCATGGAGGTATGAAAAATGTATGCACTCACTATAAACTGTAAGTCGCTCTGGATAACAGCGTCTGCTAAATGACTAAAATGTAAAATGTAAGTAAAAGTAGTCAAAAATATAAATAGTAAAGTACAGATACTGCAAAGAAACTACTAAATTAGTATTTGAAAGTATTTTTACTTAAGTACTTTACACCACTGAAAGGAGAGAGAGCATTCATACTTTATTATTTCTCAACTCCTAAATATGCGTGACCTGCACCATTTTAAACCCAGAGTTTTTAGCAGTTCCATGATTAAGCAGGTTACCAATTTGCCCTGAGTGCATAGGGAAGAGCGGGGCTAAATGTTACACGGGTCAATTGTAGGGTAACTTGGGGTAAAATGCCACCCTAGCTTAAAATAGTTTTTGGGGAATTACTTAAATTGTGATGGGACAGGTGACATTTTTTGTTGAGCAACAGTATTGGCAGTATTGGGGGGGGGGGGTTGTGACATGAAATGCTTTCTGTGAGAAGTACAGGCAAGGGCTGTGTTACCCATGTTAACCTAACAGGTAGGCGTACATTCTATTTACTGTGTTTATGCAAGTTTTAGTGGACATAAAATGAATCAATAGGATGCTAACTAGTTAAAAGATCACATTTGGGATCTAGCTAATGATTAGCCCAATAGGGTAACAGCAGTTCCAAATTATACAACAAATAAAGGGCATTATTGTCACCATAAATGGTGAATGGATGGCATTTTTCAGGCAGGGTTATAATCCTAGTTCATGCACACAAAGTATTAGGACGGGTCGGCTTTATAATGGAAAACATGCATGTGTATGGCATGCGCCAAGTTTATAAATCTCAATATTTTTAGACGCACATATTCATTTCAGAAATAGTGCACGCAGATAATTAGTTAGACATTTACACAACAGATTTAAAAAAGAGGACCCTACTAGCAAAACTGGAATTGTATTCAAATCAATACAATTGGAATGTTGTCAAACCTAGAGAGAAATATTTTGGTGTATGATCATTTTTCAGTCCTTACCTTCTCCTTCATTCTCTCAAACGTCCCACCCTGGGACATAACCATTTTCAAGTTAGTGTCGAACACCATACCAGAGGTATCTGGGGGAAAAAGAGAAAAGGTTTCTTGAAAAAATAAATAAGTGGATTTTGAATTTCTCATCGTTTTTTGCTGGACCTAGGTCTATTTGCAAAACAATTGTAAATGCACAGGCACATCATTTGTTAAACAAATATCTCCCCATACCTAGTCATTCCTGTAAATTCAAAGGTCTTTGTGTTAAAAGTAAACCATGGTGGAGAACACAGGGATTGTCATAAATCATGTGGAACAGACATAAGGACTGGGCGAATAAAGTGATAAGATGCTTGCTTGATGACCTCTTAAGTAAAATATGCATTTGTTTAACAACTGTTTCAAGGTGCTTGAGGCCTAGGCCTAAATATTTTACAATACTTTATTTAGGCTAGGACCAAAAATAACTGACCCTAGAGAAATGAAACTTGTCTCAAGAAATCTTAGCATCTGGACTGGCCCAAAATGATCTGAGCTCTGCATTGAATTTGAACCGGTTATAACTGATGTACAGTTCTAGAAACAGAATGAGTCAGCAAAGCAGGGGTTTACGCATCAGATGGATAAGAATACTGCGCTAAAAAAAATAAGCTCAATGAGATGAGAAACAGATGGGTTGCTGCAACCCAAATACATGTGGCATGAGCAAAGAATGCCCAAGGACAGATTTGCAGTACTCTGCAACAGTCCTAATGGATGGCTTTATTTCAGAAAGTTCATGAAATAGCCTAACTTTCTATCTCAGAAAAGCTTGAACCCTTCTAAAGGTATACTATCCAACGTGGACTGCATGTATGTCAGTTCATCTCTCTCAGCTATTGTGTTTGAAAGGGTCCATTCTAACTCAATAAGATGTCTTGTAATGTATCCTTTCCAAAAGCGGTTCTGGCCAAAGGCAGCACTGGCAACGATGTTTGGTCTGAGACAGTCAATGTTTTCTTTGTCTACAGTAAAATGGCAGAGCAGGAAAATCTGATGGACTTCCATCATGCAACCTCCAGAGATAGCCTAACGTATGAGTTCACAGCTTTGAGTAGGGATGTCAAACGCTCAGCCTGCTGCACAGCCCCTACGGATGCTCTTCTAGAGCGCCTGGTTAAATTGTGCTGAGTAAAATAACAAAACAAAAAAAGTTAATAATCTGTACGTTTGCTTTATTTACTATCATCCCCTACAATTTATCCAGAATGCTGCAGCCCGCCTGGTGTTCAACCTTCCCATACGTCACTGGCTTCCAGTCGAAGCTCGCATCCACTACAAGAACATGGTACTTGCCTACGGAGCAGTAAGAGGAACTGAGATATGTGGTTTTACCACCTAGCTATCTTAAGATGAATGCACTAACTAAGTCACTCTGCAGAACAGTGTCTGCTAAATGACTAAAATGTAAATTAAGATATTGAACTATTTTGCCATATCTAATTAATGTATAATTATGCTACTTTCCATTGATGTGGACAGTATGTGTTACTACATTACACAAGCTGATGTTTTGACCACATCAAATTGGGGGAATTACATATGCTTTTTACCTCAGATTAGTGATGTTACTACAAAAGTTTATAGTCAACAAAATGACAAGATCAATTGCTTAAAGCAGATCAATATCTTTTGTCATACACGCTCTCATTTTCTTTCTCAAAATGGAACAGATAATTCTGACTACAGTCTCTCTATAAATAGTAACTGGCCACACACCAATACAAGGATTTGAAAGTCAAACCTTCACTTACATAGCAGCCAACCGTAGTCACTTCATATCCTATGGCGGGTTGTGATTTGTTGAAGTTAACTAAGAGAAAAAGTAGTTTGTTCCCTTTTCCGTGATGGCAGCTTCACGAAATCAACATACGCCATTCCAAAATATAGATAGGAATTTGTAGAAGGCTTCTATCTAACCTACCATGTATAGGTTATTCCAAGTTTCCGTGTGGCCTTTGAATATAGTTAGTTTAAACAGCGCTACACCCCAAACGTTTGCACCCTGTTCTATTGATTTCAGCTTGATATCGATGGAAGTGATTAACAAATAAAGTGTTGTGCTTAGGGCTGTGGCGGTCACGAAATTTCATCAGCCGGTGATTGTCAAGCAAATAACTGTCGGTCTCACGGTAACTGACCGTTAATTAACATAAACACATTTAGCATCTCCTGGCTTCCACACACAGCCTACAAGCCACTGATGCAGACCGTTGGAATATCTACATTTAAAAAAATACTAACAAATCCATGTAATATAGCCTACACCTTCACAATAAATCCATTATTTATTTTAGACAGGTCTAAAGAAGCATGAGATTTAGAAAATGTTGTCTATTTCAGAAGAACAAAATAGCATACTCTGAGTTGTCCTTATGTTAGGTCCTGATCTGGCTATGCCAAATGGCTGTGGGCTACACTAGTTCATTTAGCAGACAAGATTTGCTTAGAATTCTGTGGAATTATTTTATAGTATGAAGAATACAATTGAACAAAGCTGAATAAAATAGAAAGGATATTTTCTCCAAACGATTTGAGGGAGTGCGCACATGCGGCTATTCTGTGTTGAGCGGTTAACAAAGAAACAGGTCCTCCTATATGCTTAATTTAGAGTTATTAATGTAACTTTAGTTGTTCTACAAACATTGGGCTATATGTTTTGAATTTTAACCTCTGTGGGATCGGTGTCCCGTATACGGGACAGTTGAGCTAACGTGCGCTAATGTGATTAGCATGACTGTTGTAAGTAACAGCAAACTTTCCAGGACATAGACATGTCTTATATGGGCAGAAAGCTTAAATTCTTGTTAATCTAACTGCACTGTACAATTTACAGTAGCTATTACAGTGAAAAAATACTATGCTATTGTTTGAGGAGAGTGCACAACAACAAAACAATTATCACGGCAACTGGTTTGATACATTCACCTCTGAAGGTAAATAACGTACTTACATTCAGTAATCTTGCTCTGATTTGTCATCCTAAGGGTCCCAGAGATAAAATGTAGCATAGTTTTGTTTGATAAAATCCATTTTTATATTCAAATGTAGGAACTGGGTTCTACAGTTTGAACCCCTGCCCTCTCTGGCACCACACCCACCCCACCCAGCCATCTAGATGTGTGAAAGTTAGTGTATAAGCTAATGATCCATCATGTATGACATTCCTTGGGAGTGTGTAAACTTACAAAAATCATATGGTAATACAAAATGTATGTTCTCTATAGTTATGTACTTAAAAATGTATCAATTTACCAATTCAGCACATTTGGGCAGACTTGATACAAAATAGTCCAGTATTGCAATCCTTCACCTGATCAATCTGAAACATTGTACACACTGCTAAATTGCACCTAAACTGCAATATTATATTGTGGCCTTTCTCTTGCATTTCAAAGATGGAACAAAAAAATAAATAGAAAACGCATGTTTTTTTGTTTGTATTATCTTTCACCAGATCTAATGTGTTATATTCTCCTACATTAATTTCACATTTCCACAAACTTCAGTGTTTCCTTTTAAATGGTATCAAGAATATGCATATCCTTGCTTCAGGTCCTGAGCTACAGGCAGTTAGATTTGGGTATGTCATTTAGGCGAAAATTGAAAAAAAGGGTCCGATCCGTAAAAGGTTAATACATTGTAAGGCTGCATGATGCGACTAATGATGATTTGAAAAAAGTTGCTTGAAAGGCATGACCTCTGCTTTGTTTTTTACGCAGGCAGTACACTACATCAGTCACTCATTCACAATTTGACAAGCACTTGATAATGCCTAGAATTTCACAGCGGCATCCCCTTTGTGTGGCCGTAATGCACCCTAAAAAGAATCCATGCCTTTTGCGGCCAGTGGCCGTTGTGCGCTTCTCCCTGAGTGGTGCGCGTGCTATCACGTGATCGGGTCTTTCATGTGATCGACCCACTTTAATCAAAATGCAACACCTCAACATGTAGCTAGCGGTCTTCTTTAAATTGTCCTCTAACCAGTGATGTACACATTATTCCCAGATTCTGTGTGGTTTTTGAGCTGTGTTAGCTTTAACAGGATGTGCAACCTCATCTCCCCCCTCTCGCGCAATTGATTTCAATGTGATAATCGATAGGAGGGATTGACAAAAGTGTTGCATTAGTCTTTCTGTTCTGGTGACCCCCGTATCAAAATGCAACATTCCAAAATGTAGCTGACTGTTCTGCAGGTTGTCCTCTAACCAGTGATGTCAAAATATATCCTGTTTCCATGTGGTTTTTGAGTTGTGGTAGTTTCAACAGCGCAAACCCTAAGCGTTATTGCCAGTTGACAAAACCAGATTTTTGGTGTGTGTTCAGGTGCTCGTTTAAAAAAACACAGGTAATATGATTACCATTGTTGCACGTGTTGATAGTACATGTTATGTTTTCAATATATCATGAACTGTTTCTGCATATTGGTTATTGATTTGGACACTTTAAAACTGTGTTTTGACATTGGGCTATTTATCAAATGTGTCTTTATTTTTATTTATTATTATTTTTTTATTATTTTTTTATTTTTGTCATTTAGCAGACGCTCTTATCCAGAGCGACTTACAGTTAGTGAGTGAGTGCATACAATTTTTTACAAAATTTTTTGTTACGCCATGACCTACCAATTGAGCTACATCCCTGCCGGCCATTCCCTCCCCTACCCTGGACGACACTGGGCCAATTGTGCGCCGCCCCATGGTTCTCCCGATCACGGCCGGCTACGACAGAGCCTGGATTCGAACCAGGATCTCTAGTGGCACAGCTAGCACTGCGATGCAGTGCCTTAGACCACTGCGCCACATCTTGTCAACAGCGACAGCATTTTCAACTTAAGTTTTAGGAATATAAATTGGTATTGTACTTAAATCAGGAAACAAAACTGCTGAATGAGTCCAAAAACGTGCTGCGATTGATTTATTTTGATGATATAGGCCTACCAGAAATCACCAAAACTGGTTTTCCCTGCCTACTTTGAGCTGAGTGTATGGCCTAAACAGACCCACTTGATGAAGTTGCATGTCAATTTGTCGAGT